TTTGCAATAAAAATTTTTCAAAATATTGCTCGTAAAAAAAAGAAAATTGTAGAAAGTCCATCCAGAGAGAGTCAATCTACAATATAATATTTTGGGGAAAACAAAAATTTCCGCATATATGGTATATAAATAATCAAAGCTGAAACGCGAAATATTAAACAATGATTGGAAAAATACAAAGAACGCTTTTGGTAGACATACTTTATTCAAGGGTGTATCTATGATGCATCGACGTGATCTGCTGCCGCGAATAAATCCACGAATTCGCACAAGCGGCGAATAATACCACACGTTCTGTGGCCGCAAAACATTTCAATTATTATAAATACATTTTTTATACACTCCCTGAGCGCCAAATGTGTTACCGATTACCGGATAGTATTTATATAGAGTCCTGCAAACGGATCCAAATATTTCATACCTTATATAATATTCACGGCAACGGCGATCTGGTGCGGGTTACGTTATTTACATCGATAAAGTATTTGTAAATTTAACATAGTTCTCTCCCCGCCCTCTCTCCCTTTTCCCTCTACTATTGCATAAAATTTAGCAATCAGTGCGTACATTTGTATGCCGCGATGGAGATTTTTGCACGTTTTTCTCTTCTCGAGTGTGTGTGAAAATTTTATTTTACGTTACTGAAATATGTCTCGATTTAACTTTAATTAATGTCGAATAATTCCAAGCACGTTTGGTGACAGAGGGATGAGAGATATGAAATAGTGAGAGATATTAATTTTTTATATGCGGTCATCATTTACTATAAAAGCAATCCAATAACGCAAAGAGTCAAAAATTCTTAGATTATACTTGTCTAGAGAAGAAAGAGTTAGAATCGCTAAACGCAGTCCTGCACATTTGCAATTAATTGAAATACCGTTTGAAATAGTTCGTTCACGTCGGCCGATTTACGTCATTAGAAGCTTTATGTGGGTCAAATCAGAGCGGACCGCAAAGACCGAAGCCTACAACGTCCTCTCTCTTCCCTTTGATATTATCGATTCAAACTGTACGGTGTGCTTCTGGTTGCTACCGTTGCTGCACGACAGCCGTTTACGTACATGCTTCCCGCGATATGACAAACAGCATGACGCAAGCGACGCCTGCAACGACGCCGATATAATGCACACGTGTCGTTGATACGGCACGAAACGTCAAGACGTGTTTTCGAACGTCACCATAACGATCGAAGTAGACGCGAGAGGTAAAGCAAAGCGAAGGGTGCGAATATTAGCCGAGACCAAAGGCAAGCAAACGTCTTACGATTTCTCGATACAGGGTGTAACAAAAGATAATATATGTGTATCGCAAACTATAGAATGTGTATTTTGATTGTTAGTGTTTTCCATTTCATGGAAACTCATAAATAAATAATAGTTCTAACTTTATTTTCGATAGTATATAGTCCTTGATAATTGAAACAAATAATTCTGAGCGTTAAATCAAAGAAAATATCTGATAACAAACTGAGATGCCAAGTTCATGCAGCGTCTCACTTTGTACTGCGATATTTTTCTCCTCATTTTTCGTCAGATTTTCAAAGATTTATAATCTAACAAGAGTTGTTCTAGAAAAAAATCCTACTTTTTAAATAAAAACCATCGATTAAAATAGAATAATCACAAGCAAATGCAAAAATAGTTATTTAAAAAATTTTTTTATACTACTTATATTAGAACTATTTAAACCATGCATAAATATACTCAGAATTATACGAGAAGTATTTCAGAATAAAAAGAATTTTTGAAATCGACCAACGCCTCATATAAATACATGCCTTTTTCGGGTAAAATGAACTATTCGTCGGAATTATTTGTTTAAGTAATCAAGAACTATAGAATTATTAAAAATGAAGTCAGAACTTTTAATTATTTATAGATTTCCACAAAATAATATGCCAGCTTCACATTCATTGATTGTTTTGAATTTGCAAATCTTGTTACATATTTAACATGAAAAAAACGCGCGTTATTTCTCATTTTTCATAAATTATATTACTTACGGAATTGATATAAAATTATATAACAATGCTCATAAAAATGATATTATTGAGTAACAGGAAAAGAATAATTATTTTTCGCTCCATGAAAAAAGAAATATATACACGCAATATACATATTGTAAGTGTCAAACGATGCAAACTCTTATATACGTATGACAAAAATATCGCGAAAAACACGCCTCGAACTCCCGCTGGAGCGTAAGATACCTTATATTAGACACTAGACGCGATGACACGGTGCATTCTTACGGGTATCTCGGAGAGAGGAAAAGAGTACATAGGATCTGGCGAAAGAGAGAAATATTCCAACCATCGCATCGGCGAGATGGCACCGGAAACCATTACACGCGTCGAACAACGAACATGCGCAACAAAATCTGCTCGCAACGCCTGTCGGCCCGATAAAATCATCTGTCGTTAAAATTGCGGCTAGTCCGCGGCGGATATCTCCGATGCATCGAAACGACGAAGAAAGAAAGCTCGGAAAAGGGAAGAAAAAAGAGAATTCATCTCCTTTGGGATGTGCTTCGACGAGATTCCGTTCCCTAATACCGCGATGGTTTTAAGACCCGATTTTAGGATAAATCCGCGAGGAATGGTCGCGAGATGCGTCTGCGCTCGTAAAAGAACACTAGAATTCAACGGTCCATCATAGGACATTAATCCGATCAGGTCGGTCGGTAATACTCTAATTTTCTCCGAATTTACGAGGAGAAAATTTTGTGAGGACACATCTCTCATAACCCGTCCGCCACACCGGATTATTTTATCGGGGAATTCGTGTGATCCACTCCGTTGATCCTCTCGACGAGCTCTGCTCCGTGACTACTTTTCAGTATTACGGCAATGATCACACAGAATTTTGCCCAGCTAATAATAGCTGCTTCTCGTCCATGTAATGTTGCTTCCAACTATATTCAATTTAAGTTAGCGATAGCGTTAGCGATAGAGACTAGATAACGACCCATAACATGTACGTAAAGGTTCAAAGTTTATAATTTTATTAAAATATATATAATTATTCTTTTATAAAATATTCCTTTTATACATTTTTATGTAAAAATAATTTATATGCATAAATAAGACGCGAATATAATTATTATCAAGTTAGCAACTGCTAAAAACAATCGAGACTACGTATTGCGAACTCATAATAAACGTCACATACATCGCTCGTGCATTTTTAAAGATCTAGAACGAGTTATCGCGTATGAATGGTTCTTCCGTTACATAAGAAAATAATGGAAACCAACGATACGTTTTCATAGCTGATACAGAAGTATATATGAAACGAAGCGTTTTTTCGAACAGGCAACTAGGTAATTGTAAAAAATATTACTTATTCCAGGCTGCGTTGTAGACAGCGCAAATGCAAAACGAATGCTTATTGTACTTTAAAATCCGACGCAGCTTTTATTCTTAATAAAAAAAAGCGCGTTCTCGAATAAAATTTTACATCAACACGACTCAGCCTTTGTTACTTCGTATCTTTCACGCTGGGTATATCTCGGCGAACGGACCGCGGGTGTACAAAAGAAGGGAAGGACTACCGATACGGCATTGTCGGGAAAACGATGTAGCGTAACGTCAAACCGAGCGCAGACTCCAATTCCGGCGATGATACTAGCGCGCATCTCTGCTAGTATCTCTGTAAATAGTTCAAAATTCTTCGCACCGTGTTGCATTCGCATATCCTGCGAGAAAAAATGGAAACGAAGAGAGAGATGTCATAAATAAAAACGACCGTTTAATTTCGTTCGAAAGGATTGCCACATTTTTGTACCGCGAGCAACGCACCAGATGCGATGCTTTACCGACGTTTCGAATTTTATCTTCACGAGCACACACTGAATTTTTACAGCCTTATTGCGGCATATCTATGCGCGAATGCATCAAAGCTTTCGTACGGCTTCGTATGATATGCAGCCGAAGATGTTTTATCGAAAATATAACGAAAAGCGCTCCTGGGACTTTAGTTCATGGAACGAATGTAAAATATCTGGTTCGTAACGTGCGTGCAATAATAGTTATTTTATACATATTATAAAAACATTTAATAAATGCCATGTATTATAATTAAATAATGTGCTTAAAATATATGTAATTAAAATAATGTAATAAAATTTGTTGTTGCGATATTATTTTTTTATTGATAATATAAAATTGAATAGGAGAATTAAAGAATAACGCGAACGCGAATTTATATTTACTGACATAACACGTTATCGTTGAATAAACTAATAGATTAATACAAATTAACGCAAAGGTGTTTATCCTAATACTAAACGCGATTATACGTATATTGGTTTAAATGAGCAATAATAGGCTGATACTTATCGCATTAAACAGGCGTTCTTGCATCACCGAATAATATAATCACAGAGAAATTCGCTTTTGGAAACAAACACGATACGTAATTGCATACAAAGTGAAAGATTATTCTGATAAAATAAATTCATTTATATGCCACGCGAGCAAATTACACTTTTATCAATATGCAGACGTATCGCGTCCGACTTTTCAAGTTACATTTTTATTGCATACGCGTATAAAATCGCGATCACCTGATTACGTCCCTAAAAAGCGAATCAGTTTGCGAGAAAAACTTTTCAAAAAATATGAGCATATATATCGTTCCTTATTAATTTTAATAATCTTGCATAATTAATTTGCCTGATTAATTAGCTCAAATTTATTGATTTTTTAAAATATTAAGTAACAACTTACGGAGAGTTAAAGAAAATATTTTCGCGCCAATTAATAATCTTTAATAATTAATTCGCCCGATTAATTAGTTCAACTTTATTGATTTTTTTAAATATTAAGTAACAACTTATTGACTGAGAATTTAAAAAAAAATTTTTCGCGCCATAAAGTTATCATGTTTATTAAAAATAGAGATTTATTATTAAAAATAGTGAATAGGTTATATTTTTCGAAAATGATTTTTTCCCTGTTAAAACGAATTTAATTGTTCCGCATTTCTGTTATCTAGTACCCATATCACACATCGTGGCACTAGTCGGAGATTCCGCCTATCTTCCCTGCGACATATCAACCACTCACGAGGGAGACTCGGTGCATCTTGTGCTATGGTATCGCGAGGATCTCGGTACATCAGTTTACAGGTAAAGTGCAATCAATTCATATATACAGGACAAGCGTACATTCGCGAGCGCGCACACTCTCGCGGAGGGGATGGCGGGGGGGGGTCGTGCATACATGCGCGCGTACATATGCACATGTATTGCGATCTGCAAACTACGTACCACCGGTTGTTTCTCTATCGCTACAGAACGGATTACAAACAGCCCGTCGGCACAATACGAGATTGGTAGTCGCTTTTATCCGAAAATTGTCTTTGAACTCGATTTTCGCCGTCGCTTCGCGACGCTAAAAGAATATATATTTCTTGTTTGCAAGGAATATCACCATTGAATATTGCATAAGTATCGCTCTATACTGACTATTGAAAAAGGATGAATCAGTGTGCGTTTTGTGTATCAGAAATTGTCTGTATTTGAAATATACAGTAATACATATGCAAACTTTTTAATAAAAAATTTTATTGTTTAAATCTGCAGTTTTTTTATAAGATGCAAAAATATAAATTCTGTATATTATTTTACAATACAAAATTTAACATCGCAACAGCACACATGCTAGTTATATATCCATATTAATCATTATCATGTAACTAACATATTGTAAAAGATATGCAAAAAGATACGTATGAATAATCTTTCATTTTTAACGAGTATTTTTAAAATAATTTTTTTTGTCTAATGACTAATAAATACTTTTTAGAAATATAATATAAAAAGCATAATTTATTATTACTGTACAACTCGTCGTATATAAACCAAAAATGAAATCTGTTTAATTATAAATACAATTATATATATATAGACTCACCAATGTTGCTCATTGTTTTCTTCGCCGCATGATACTTTTTATTTTCAATGCGTTTTGCGAACATATTTGAAGAACGCCGTCCCGCGACAAATATTGGAACGCGCGAAGCGACGAACGCCGATTGCAAATAATCGCGACCGCGATCGCGTAATCCAATAGATAGATCGAGGCGATCGTCCGTCACTAGATTCGACACTCCCGACTTGTCATATGCGACATTAACAAATATTCGAGATACTTATCACTGCGCGAAACACGTGTTTGGAGAATGACGTCTCGCGACAAACACTGACACGCGCGAAGCGATGGACGGCGATTGTAAATAACCGCGGTAGACGCGATCGCGTAATCCAGTGGAAAGATCGAGACGATCGTCCATCGCTAGATTCGACACTCGCGATTCCCGACACTTTTATCACATATTGCGCGAAGCACGTGTTTGAAGAATGACATCTCACAATAAACACTCAAACGCGCGAAGCAACGGACGCCGATTGCAAATAATAATCGCGATCGCGACCGCGTAATCCAATAGGTAGATCGAGGCGATCGTCCGTCACTAGATTCGACACTCCCGACTTGTCATATGCGACATTAACAAATATTCGAGATACTTATCACTGCGCGAAACACGTGTTTGGAGAATGACGTCTCGCGACAAACACTGACACGCGCGAAGCGATGGACGGCGATTGTAAATAACCGCGGTAGACGCGATCGCGTAATCCAGTGGAAAGATCGAGACGATAGTCCATCGCTAGATTCGGCACTCGCGATTCGCGATACATATCACAGACTACGCGAAGCACGTGTTTGGAGAATGACATCTCACGACAAACACTGACTCGCGCGAAGCGATGGATGGCGATTGTAAATAACCGCGGTAGACGCGATCGCGTAATCCAATGGAAAGATCGAGACGATCGTCCATCGCTAGATTCGACACTCGCGATTGAACAAGCTCGGAAAAAAATCTTGAACGGTTAACACGTCGTACCTTACAGGAACGCAAGTCCGCCAAAACTGCTTGCCAAGTTTCTTGTTGACATTCAGTAACACGATACGGCGATATGTTCATCGATTCTGATACATATCAGAATCCTCCGAAATCGATGGGAAGGTAATTGTTAATTAATATTACGCATTTTGATTTAGCTGTATACGTGTAAGCCTAATTAGTTTTCTGTAGACAATCGAAATATTTCTCGTAAACGCTCGATAAACATCGTGTTTTGTGTGTTATCAGTAATCGCTTCGCGGTACGCGTGTCTGTTAAAGAAAAAAAAAAAAATGAGATGATATGTCTCCAAGATATACGCGACGTGTCTCCTTCTTTCTTTCAATCAGAAACGAGTGAGCGTGAATAATATTGAATTAATGTATCGGGTGTTCGCGTATGTTTCTCTCTCGCTAATACATGTAATAGTAATCACTGATCGATCGACAAAGCATAATAGTCGCTTTGCGAATATTAAATATAACGAAAATGAAATATTGTTAACAGTTTTTTTTTTTGCAATGATTCGGATTCAGAGTGTGTGTATTGTATACGAAAGTAAATAAGCTTCGAAAGTTAATATTCGATCGCCTATCGTGTAAATTTGCGCATGATAATCGATTGCCTTTTCACGATTTATCCGTGTGTGTGACTGAATCTTCCTCGTGAAATTTTAAAAGTGAATAGAAATCGACATATTTGCATATGGCGGGTGCGTAAGTTGTGTGAGCGAATTATTCCATAATTTTTTTCCCCATTCCGCGCAAACATGAAACGTGCGCTCGAGACAATTTCAAGCATAAGATTTTAAAGGGACGCAAAATTGTATCCCGTCTTTTTTGAGCGAGCATAGAAATATATTTTCATAAAAAAATAATTTCCTTGACAGCATTACTATTACATTGTTATTGGAGAAGAAAGAACTATAAATTTTTTTTTTCAATTTTTAATATAATATTAAAGTAAAATATAAACAAATATAATAGAAAAAAATTATAAATAAAATTTGCTAGGCAAATCCATTTGAATAGCTGGAATAATAATTTAACTCTGCAGCTTGCTGTTAATTCATCTGCAGTCAAATTTTATTTTAGATACACGCCTTTTAACGTGAAATTATTGTATAACATTATGTATGTATATATATAATAGTGCATAAAGTCTTTCTCTTTCTCTCTTTCTCTCTGCAACGCAAATTAGCGATGGCTGTAAATACTTTATATTTCAATGCCGTGCTGCTTAACATGCGACTCGCACCCCGCCTACATCATTATCCACTTCCTTTTATAGAAAAGCAGAAATATCATATAACACTGAAATATTTTCTCGATTTTAAAATCTTTTCAAATGTTACAATATACATACCGAAAAGTTCGTCACACAGTAGCGCTAGTGACGCGGATCTTAAAAGGCAGAAAAAATAGCAACGACATGTAAGCGGATTCGCTCTTTCAAATTCTGCGGAGATACGCGTTTATTCGCGGCGCTAAGTGAAAGATACTTCGATTTTTCAACAATACAATTGTACGAATAGAGAATATAAATGACGTGGATTTGGATTCGGATTTACGTTTGGAATGCTAATAAATCAATTATTATACAGAACTAACAAGGTGACATTTATATTTGTCTGCGATAAATTCTGTCAATTTTCTATGTTATCAATCGGCATGTTCTCTGCAAGAAAATTTATCGAACATTGTCAGATATTTTTGTGAGATTCTAATATCAAAAATACGGTCGGTAAATACAGTCAGTTTGACAGCGAAAATATTTATTGATCTTTGAATGTGAGATATAAAATCATATTTGTAATATTTAATATTCAAGAAATTTGTTTTTACATTTTACGATTTGTCACCGAACGCATTATGAAATCGGCAAATATTCGACAAATTTAAAACTATAGAATCCGCGTGTCACATACGTCATATAAATCATTAAACAGTAATTAACAGCAAAAGAGAATGCAATCGTGCGACACAAAATCAATTATGGCAGTATAATTATTACAATTTAATAGCGTTACGGCTTGAAATAATGATTGCGGTATCGATCATTGGAGGAACTTTAATTATGTGCCAATTACATCGGCCGCGCTGATAACGCGCCGAGGCTAGAACGCGATTTAAACTATGCGGCGCGAAATCCCTTGCGGATTTTAATTTATTCCTTCGTGTCGACTGATGAATTCATCCGTGACCGCCGGCCGCAATAGAACAACGCTGATAAACATTTAATCGTAATTATCGCGGTAATGATATTCGCTGTTAAAATAGCCGCTCGGTATCATATATTTTTCAAAAATGGGTATCGAACGCACGCTGATGATCTGCCGTTGGAGTCGGAATGGATGTCGTCGAAATGTCGTTTTGCCGAGTTGGCTTCGCGATTTTTTGCCGTCAAATCAGAAGCGAACAATCAGAATTTCGATATTCGCCATAGAGACGTGAACTGACAATGAGCAACCCGATGATATGAGAGAGGACATTTTTTCGTTAATTTATCTACTATCTCACATATTGCTTCCCCGTATGTACTTTGAATTGCATTTTTCAATCTTAAATTAAATCTCTACTGAAATAATATCATTTCAAATTAATAAATTGATATGATGTTGTCATTTTAATGTCATTATTTTTACTAAAAGTTTAATTAACCGCAAAATATTTATATTTTTAATACACAGAAATAATGAATGCTCTTTAATATATATTTTTGTTCAGGAAATATCAACATTAAATAAGCTTGCAAAAAATCTATCAAAAAATAATGCGTTAAAGATAGGTCACTCTCTTGTCGGTATTTCTCTGTCTTTAACATTTACACCTTATCTTTATCACCGATATCTTTACAAAATTTTTTACATTGTTTTTAATAATTCCGTTATATTGATTTAAATGGCTTTCAGCAAGGCTTGTCTCTATTGGAAAAAAACTCTTGCAATAGAAACACGAAAACTTCATTATATGATGAGATCACGCAGAGAAAGAAAGAGAGAAAGAGAGAGAGAGAGAGAATGAGAAGGGAAAAAGAGAGAAAAGTTTGCAATTCGGCGAAAAACCAACGATGCGACATTGTGGCAACGGGAAAATCTCTGTTTTACAAGAATCGGTTTTGCTTCCGTTTCGCTTGTTCAATGTAAACATTCACTATGTTTTGGTTGTATAACAATTTTCGTAACAAGTATTAAACGTGTTTTATCTACCGTAAAATTATCCTCGCCATAATTCAACGAGGCGGCACCGTGCTCTTTTCAGGTAGATATTTTTACTCGCGTGCTTATTATTGCGCGTGACACATATTGTAAACTGTACGATACAGTATTTCGAAAAATCTGTCTGTTGGATTATGTACATCCATGACTGGACAGTTGACCGCATCATAAAATATTTTCTTGTGCAAGATAATTTATATGTATAATATTTTGCACGACCTATAATTTTTTTAACGATATTATAGAAGCATTTAGCTCGATGCGTGTAATTTTAATTGCCTTTTTTAATTTTAACGAAATTTAATCCTTCAGTTCGTACCTTTAAAGCGTGAATAATCACATTATTATTATTATCATCATAATCATGTACTAAATTAATTTACGCATTACATACGTATTTTAGTATTATTATGAAAAAGAGCAAGAGGATTTATAACCCATTGATATTAATACGATCGAACTGTCTACTAAATTATTTTTGATACGTAATACCACAAGCTTCCTTTTATTATTAGAAAACAAGAGAGGAGAAGAGATTACGCGTCCATTATAAGCACATCCATTATTGGATAGATTATGCATTGTTAGAGAAGATTAACGTAAAACGATAGTTCATATAGCCTATATGCTATGCTCGAATTACTAACATAATTATATTTGATTTTTCTGTTGCAGCATTGATGCTAGAAACCGAGAATTCGGTATCGCCGAAAGATGGTCGGACGATACTGTGTTTTCGCATCGCGCATATTTCATGTTGGACAAGGAACCAGCGCTATTGGGCATCGAAAACACCAGAGAGGAAGACGCCGGTATTTACAGATGCCGCGTCGATTTTCAAATTGGCCAGACAAGAAACTCTAAAGTCAATTTAACAGTAATCGGTAAGTTTTTATTCTCAAGCTATTTGATATCTCAGTCTGTTAAGAAAGAAAATGTTATAAAATGCAGAAGGTCGTTCTCTTCAAAATGTGCATCTAGAAACGTTGCATGAAACGGTACGTTCAGTCAATAGATAATTGTTAAACCAATATAATTATTCGTAAACGGTCCTCCTAGTTATCGATTCAATTAGGTTTGTTCAGTGAACTAGCCGGGCATAGCTTTACTTGAATTAGATACACGCTCTCGCGCGATTACGAAGTTTTTGCGACAGTCGTCGTCAGAGAGCTCGAAATCACGTTTTACAATGAATAGCAACGAAAATCCAAGATGGAAATTGGAAAGTTTTTGCAATCTTTCACGTCAGATACACTTTGATGTTTTGCAATCGGGAAGAATCAATCTTGAATTAGATTGACAATTTCCATTTCGGATTTATGTTATCATTATCCGAAACGCGATAATTCCCTGTTTAGCTCCTTATTTTTACTCGTAGTAATAAAGAAGTATTTCAAGAGGATCGTTTCAAGTAAGCGTAGGCAATTGTAACTTTGTCGGAGTTTCTCCCTGTACATAATTACGTATCTCATTAATATCCAATTAGACGCTCGAGTGCTCAGTCGCTCGACGTATATTACGATTATGCTAAAAATGACACGAAAGTTTTACGGGCTTCGTATAAAGTATTGCCTTGAAGTTACGTCGTACTTGAAGTGTCGTCGTACTTTTGCAACTTTACTCTTGTAAAACTGTCATATTACAAAAGCTTAATTTTGATAAGATTGATTTGAGGCTTATTGCCCAAAATCACCGAAAAAGATTTTTATTGAAATTAAAATCCTTTAATGTTTAATAAAATACATCAGGTAACTGATGCTTTCGCATGACGTTATAAACCAGCATGTAACGATAATTATTTTTACAACGATAAAATTATTTTATATAATTCTTGTAAAAATATCATTAAAAAAATATATATTGATTAAGACAGAGAAAAAAATATTTACATAAGTTATTTTAAATATTAATAATTAAAATTTTATTATTAATTCTATTTATCCAGTGTTATATACATATTTCTCAAACTCGAATAAAAAATTTTAATTATTGTATACTTAAAAAAATATAATTTAAATAAGTGAGCTTAAAAAGGCATCTTGTTCTCCAATTAAATCGTAAACTCTAATAAAAATGCTAATTAGAAGGCAGTGTTTTTAAAATTTATTTTTTTTAAACTCTATTTTTACGTTACGCCTCATTTCCAACCGCATTTTCCATTGTCGTTAGACGTGACGAGCATTTTCAGCGCGCTAACAATAGAATCGTAAAACGACGATTAAAGCAACGTAATAAATTCGAAATAAAGTAAACGGCCATTGGGGCAAAGCGAGCATACGATGCCAAATAAAAGAAAAAAGAGAGAGGTAGCAGAGCACAGGCTAGGAGGAAAAAAAAGAATCCAATTAACAATCCTGTTGAAAAGTTATGGAAACGCCAACGAATGAACGTGCGTCACCTCTGGGATTCGCCGCTGGCCGGCATGCGCTAAGGAATTTTTCCCGCGGGATAATTAGCTCCTCCTGTTCCCTCCCGATCCACCAACATTTCGCACGTCCCTACTAAGAGCCGTGCTTACTCGTAGACACTTCAGCCGTAGGTAAAGCTTTTCCAGCTGAACACCAATTAATGTGCCTTTATTCCCATCGCGCTTTTGCAAGCAAAATTGCATATTGCTTTCTTTCGCTCTTTTTTTTCTTATATAACAATGTATACGATGAATGACTCGACAATAACGGTTGTATGTCTTTAATGATTCGTCGAAGAATATAGAATCAATTTACAATCGATCTTACACAGATTATATTTCTTTATTTTTAATAATAATTCTAAGATACTAACAGAAATAAATATACCTCAATAAAAGTTTAAAACTGTCATTATCTTCTATATCTATTTTTTAATTTTCTTTTTTTTCTTGTGTTTTTACGTCCTAAAATTAGTTATATATAAAATATATTTAAATATAATTTTTAACGGAGTAATGAATAAACCCACTTAAACAATAATGATTTTGAAGGACATATAATCTTGATAAACTAAATTTTCTTATTAATATTCAGTTAAATACTATTCAGTTGAACACAATGTTTAGTTGAGATTTATTGTAAATTAAAACTACTATAACATTTCATAGTTTGATTGTTAACGATATCCTTAAAATTAAAAGGACACGTAAGAGAGCAAGAGAACATTCAGATACATATATGACTATATGACATAGTCACTATTTACGACGAAGAGCGAATGCTCGCAATATTGGCGAGAAACAATGCGTTGTTAAAGGCTGCACTCGAATTTATCAAATCGCATTCCTTTACGCCCGCGTTCCATCGCGTATTTGCACATTGCAGCCTCGTCAAAGACCCGAATGCGGAGACGCAAGTGTATCGAACAGACGAAGTGAAGACAGAGCAAGGTGCGAAAAGCACTCGAATCAGATGTACTATCATGATGATATCAAGACAGTTAGTGAATGAGAATGAAAAGTGAACGATTCGATTATTGGTAGCGAATTTGTTTTCTTTGAGGCAACACATTTTGTGTTTGGAGATATATGTTAGAGAACGGATTAATCGAACGCGATATATTATCGAGTGACCGAATTAAACATCATTCTTCGTTTGACGAATAGTAAATTTAAAAAATAGGAAGACTTTTATTTTAGAAATATTAATTATATATAAATATTTATTTCTAAAAAATCCTATTAGTCTTACGAAAGATAAAACTATAATTATACTTATATATATATTTTAAAATAGTAATGTATAATGTGGTAAAATTGCATAAAAGGTAACACACCTCCGATTTTATTGCCACTTAAATATGTTGTAGGGGAGGTTCTTCTGAGTAATTACCCGCAAGAAATTTGTGGGGGACGGCATTAGTTTAGGAGATATAATAAATTAAAGTTTCATAGTTTTAATGCTTTTTCTATTATAAGATAAGGATAAATGAGTTTGAAGTTTGTTTACGTTGTATTTGTATAAAGCAGACGTGGAAAAGGTGTTTGTTTACATTTACGGGATAGATATACACTCAACAAATACAACGTACTAAACTTCACTTTCCCTAATATTATTTTATAATACCTGAGAAAAAGCATTAAAACTGTGAAATTTCCATTTGTTATATCTCCTAAACCAATGCCGTTCCCCATTTATTTTTTGCGGGGAATTACTCAGAAAAACCTCCTCTCAACATATTTAAGTGGCGATTAAATCGAAAGTATATTACCTTTATGCAGTTTTACCGATATTTTTATTGATAAAAATACTTAGATTTTATTTCGAAGTGAAAATATATAATTTAGTATCGTGTTGTGCAAAATTTAATATTTCCTCAATACGGATAAGATAGCTTCAAAAGAAATTCTTTTTATCAACGCCACAAACATTTGTAAAAATATCCAACTCGCCATATTTTCCGCCAAGGATACCGGTGCCTGTATCACGATAGCTGCCCAAGTCGATGTATCGAGAAACTTTGTATTTGACAGTGGTTTCTAGCAAAAAAATAAAAAGAATAGAGGAAAGAGTGAAAAGTTTTGTACAGTCAACGGGCAGCAGACCTTCGGCTTGAAGTTAAAGCTTCGGTAAACGAGGGCATTTATCGTACCAAGACGGTGCGTCCCCTTTTCGAGGCCGAACGCGAGAAATACAAGGTATGCCAGTTCCGAAAGTATAGAATGTAATTCGATAAATTTTCCGCGAGAAACCGATGATTTTCAGAGCGGCATACCTCGCAATTTCTGTCGGTCAATATTGACATTTCAATGTGGATAACACGCACGTGCGAGCAGACATAAATTTTGTACATTTTATAATTTTGCAAATTATTGACAATGTATTATCGAGAAATGTTTGCAAATATTTTATTGCATATTCTTTAATCATTATTGGATTAATATTTGGGATTAATTCATTATTGAATTATATATAATAACACGTAATTTAATTATTATATAGTGAAATAAAACGATTTTCCCCGTAATTAATTTTATTATAATTACGGACCAATTTCAAAATTGGCTCTTTGTATTGTAAATAAGAAAAGGAGGACGATTTGAGAGAATATAGTACTGAAAAAGCCGGGCATCGTTCAATGTATGTATTTATCAGTTTTCGTTTAAGCAGAGATATTATATCATGCTTTAGGATTTTATAAAATACGAGCGACGTGAAGATAAGGTGGCTTCCGAGTAACAACGGGGGAACCAGAAATCGGTGCAAAAACTCTAAAGAAATGGCGGCTCCTCGCATTAAGACTTCCTCGAAGTCGAGGTACAGAGAACGATCACATTTATCTTCTTGAACTGTTGTTTCTTTAAAGTAAGGAAAGAACGGAGCGGAAAAAGCTGCGAGAGCAGTTTTTCTTTTTCTATAACAAAGATAATACATAACTTGATAATATAATAATATCTAATATTTTCATGTGTTTGCGGATCCGTCGTTGAGTTTTGCGATATATTCAACTTTGTAATTGTGATGATTGAAACTTTGCGTAAAGGCAAACAACTGCTCGCATCGTTTCCTCAGAATAGAAATGTAGTTACTTCATCTCCCTTGCGTTTGTGACGTGACGACATAACACACAAGCTCTGTATAGAGTGTGACGTCATCTCACCTCGCATCTATTCGCGCTATCCGATATCCTCGAGTCATAGAAACTCCATTTCTGACACCCAACAATTGTTGTACATTCAACGATAAACATGGGGGAGAACTCTGTTTATATCACCATTAAGGAAAATATTCTGTTTCAAGTGCGCGAGGTATAGTGCCTCCGCAGCCGCTTCTACTGCATTATGATTAATGCACACCGACTATTTAAGAGTTTGTTGTATGCTCGCGTTCTGATTAACGAGCAGTTTACTTACCGCGATGCTTTGTCATAGTTAAGTAAAATGGTTGTGGACGAGGTAACATAGAGAAAAAGAAGC